TCAAGGATTCTGGGATCAAGCAAATGCTCAAAAATATTCTATTTTCTCAAAATAATAAAGTTATCGTTCTTTATGGCTCTATTAATAATCAAAAATCAACAGAAATCTCATTATTTTTATATAATATATATATGTAGTAATGTAGTTTGTTATCCTGTCGTCGTGGTGGCCACAATGTTTAGAGTGGGTTTAGGCGTGATTGGGATTGCCCATAAAGACAAGGCATGTTGGATGTCACCAAAGAGATGGCGAGAGAGTGACGCCGACACTGGTAAAGGCTGATCTGTAGAGAGGGGTCTGACAATCATTGTGTCTCAAAGCGGATTGATCTGTTCGAGCAAGAAGGGTGCACACCTGGGAACCACGACATGTTTTTCGGACCTTTTCCTGTCCTGGTGCCGGCTGTCACTTACTCGAAATATTTTTGTCGTTTTGGTGATTACACCATTCATAGATTGTCCTGGCCTGAAATAAATTGTTGTCTCATACCGAAGTTGATCTTCCCTAATTTTACACGTGGCAATAAATATAGTCCAATATCTAATAATTCTGTATTTTACAGATTTATCCTGGCACGCATTCCTGGTTCTCGGATCCTTCAATACGTCAAGATTATCGCAATCTCATGTTGGATGTCTTCAATGGTATGCATGTTCCAAAAGCCAAAAAGGCTGTCGATGACGTGATGGAATTCGAGAGCAGATTATATGATGTAAGTATATCTGCCTTATTCACTAGTGAGCTAAAACTTTAAGTATTGTCTAAGTAATCTATTTGTATTTAATAAAATTTACACATATCAATTATAATCAAAGTACCATACATTTTATAAACACAATTCACTTTTTTATTTTTACACCTTAAGCCAGGCAGTACTTTTTATCAAATTTTGTTTTTATATATCCCACAAGATCAAGTAAAGATATTTCTAATCTTCATTATTTTTATTATTATAGTTTCAAGATTTTAACCACGACTGCATTAACATAGCATAATCCTCAAGATAATCAAAAATCAACAGAAATCTCTTTTATTTTTATAACATATATATATAATGATATATGTGTTTAAACAGATATATGAATAATGATTAAGATCAATGAAATCTAGGAGGGCCATCCAATTAATAAGTTTCCCTTTTTTTTTTCTGCGAACGAAACGTTGTAAAAATTAGTTAGTAGTGTAAGAAATGATCACTAGGATGCGTTGGAAGCGCGTGACCTTGTATTTTGAAGTAGAATAGCAAATATTTTATATTTAAAATCCCTGTTGGTGTGTGATATATAAACATTTGAATAATAAAAAAAGGCATATATTGGATTGAATAAAAGTTTTATTTGCCAATATTTTAGTTGGCTGAATGCCAATCTTTGTAGATGCATCACAATTTTGTATAAACAAACTCAGTACCGCTGAGGCGCTATGCGGCTTTGAGTTTGTTTATATATAAAATAATGTAATGCCTTTATAAAGGTTGGCGTTCAGCCAACCGAATTATTGGCGAATAAATCTTTCATTCCAAACAATATATGCATTTTTATTATCTAAGGATTTAAATATGCATTGATCTATTTTCAGAACAATATATAAACATTTTGAAAATAGAGAAATCCATTAATAAATATTTAATTAAAAAGGCATATATTGTATCAAAATATCATTTATTTTACCAATATTTCAGTTGGCTGAACGCTAACCTTCAAAAGGTGTTATCAAGGAATTAAATATGTTATAACACCTTGATAAGGTTGACGTTCAGCCAACTGAAATATTCGTAAAATAAATGATATTTTGATCCAATATATGCCTTTTTAATTGAAAAAAATATATAAACATGTTCTGAAGAATTAACAAATTATGTGTGCTGCGTTTGTTACAGCTAGGAAGAGTTAATGAAAATCCCAAGTTGATTATAACCAGCGAACTAGAAAGACGCTATCCTGAGGTTAGTAATTGAAACACTAAAGAAACAAAACTATTTTGATATCTATCTATAAATAAATAATATATGAATATATATGAGGGAAGAGGATTGAAGAGAGAGAGATTGAGATTGAAACTATTTTATTTCAATGTCCATATAAGATTATATAAGGTTAAATACAGGAAATATATAAGAGAGAGACAGGTTTTTCTAAACGGATTATTTAACTTTTCTTCAGTTGGAAAATATAATAATACGCTTTGTCGCTATATTTAGATTGATTCTCCCTAAATAGGATAAAGGGTACTTAAGCTCAAATAGCTTCAAGTCTTAATAGATTTAAGATTCTGGAAATAGGTAATTTGTGACTATATCTACCTTATATTAAAGATCATGAAATGTTAATTATTAAGTTGTATATGTTCGAAAATTGAGCAATTCATATATTCAATTATTTGAATATTCTTATTTTGGATCAAATATTTTTATTTTCTAATATTTCGTATGGTACGTATACGCGAGCATTTCAAAACAATCTTGTTCCCTGAAGTAGTTCGGCGTGTTGCCATACCAAATATTGAAAAATAAAAAATATTTGATTCAAAATAAGCATATTCAAGTAATAGTTGTATATATGTGGGCGGTAATGAACCACCTAACTCTATTGTCTATACTTCTAAATACTAAAAATGGAAATAACAAAATTATAACATATAAATATTCTCTTAGCAATATGCTATTACGACCTTTTTCAGCCGTCGTTGTTTGTGTACAATGCTTCTAAATAACAAGGAGGGTTCTATGTAGATAGAGCTTAGCGTGAAGTTTTTATTACCAGTAGGTACTAGTAGAAATAAGGATTAGATACAATGGGATGGACTTGCCTTCAATGTCTGCCATCAAAAGGAACTTCTTTGCCAACATCTGGCTTTCGTCCAGTTCGTGCAAGCATCTTTGGCATATTCTTCCCACATGAGCCATTTGGCCTCAGCTGGATTCTATTCATCTTTCTACAACTTCACCCTTGGATCTTATCCTCTTGATTAGCTTTTAATATAGTAGGGATTTGAAAATTCCGTTCTTCATTACTCTTCATAATTCACCCTTTCATACCTCATCCAAAAAGGTTAGAAAAAGTCAATATTTCACCTTGAAATAAATTTTGATTTTTCATTAAAAAGAAACTCATACGGTGTAACTTCAAGTGTCGTTTTACAATTACAGGCCGAAGTGAATTATATAGTAGGGATGGGGTTATCTATATTACACAATATGAATTGATTCAAATCTCCTGGATATTAAATGAAAAATTAAAAATGTTTCCGGAGATGAGTTTCTTTTTATTTCAAATACCATCTCAAGCCTTTGGGTATATCTGCCTTTCCACAGGAGAACATATACAATGAATAAAATTATCAGGCAGAGTTTTAACTTTGTATATATTATACTAGACGGGTTACCCGGGCTTCGCCCCGGGATTGACCCGTGTGCATATCTACCCGAGTGATATATATTTAGATAAGATTTTTTTTATAATTGTTTGTTATTAGCATTATCTATTTGTTTACATCAGCATAATTTAATCTAATCTTTGATAGAGGGCGCTGTTTGTGAGCTAAGTAGAATAATTTGAATATATAGTTTTAATAATTCATTTATATATTTTAAAATAAGCCTATCGTCTTCCCCGTATTTCTTTACCTATGAATGGAAATTTTGGTTTGAATTAGTGAACTACTGCGAATTTGTATACCGGACATACAAACATTGATTTTTATATATATAGATATATATTTTCTCCTGTGAAAGGGCAGAGATGCCCGAAGGCTTAAGATTACATTTGAAATAAAAATAAACTCGTGTCGAAAAACTTTTTTATTTTTAAAAATTATATTAAATATTTAGAATATAATCCTTTGTTAGCAATTTTTTAGATAATAAAGTAAAACGTCCAAGAATAAGTATTTTCAAAAATTTCAAGAGTTTTACTTAGATATATAAATATATTATAATATAGAAAATAAAGTAAACTTCAAATTTTTCAAAATACTCATCCTTGGACGATCTACTTTATCATCTAAAAAATGCTATCGAAGAATTTATTTCTAAATATTTAATATAATTTTAAAAATTGAAAAAGGTGTCTCAACACGAGTTTCTTTTTATAATTAGAAATATTAATTTTAAATAAAATATAATGCGGCTTGTGATTGTAAAACGACATTTGAAATTATCCCGCATGAGTTTCTTTTCAATGAAAAATCAAAATATATTTTGAGGAGAAATAACGATTATTTTACCTTAGAGATGAGATATGAAAGGATGAATTGTGAAGAGTAATGATAAACGGAAAAATAAAAGTGCCCAGGGATGGGAATCGAACCCACAGTGTTCCGCTTACCGGGCAGATGCCATGTCCACTAGGCTACCCTGGACATATTTTTCCCTTCGTAAATAATACATAAAGTAATTTATAATACAATATAATATAATGCGGCCTGTGATTGTAAAACGACATTTGAAATTATCCCGCATGAGTTTCTTTTCAACGAAAAATCAAAATATATTTTAGGAGAAATAACGATTATTTTTAACCCTAGGGATGAGATATGATAGGAGGAATTGTGAAGAGTAATGATAAACGAAAAAAAAAAGTGTCCAGGGATGAGAATCGAACCCACAGTGTTCCGCTTACCAGTCAGATGCCATGTCCACTAGGCTACCCTGGACATATTTTTCCGTTCGTAAATGATACATAAAGTAATTTATGATACAATATAATATAATGCGGCTTGTGATTGTAAAACGACATTTGAAATTATCCCGCATGAGTTTCTTTTCAACGAAAAATCTGAATATTTTAAAGGAGGAATAACGAATATTTCTAACCTTGGAGATGAGATATGAAAGGATGAATTGTGAAGAGTAATGATAAACGGAAAAATAAAAGTATCCAGTTTCGTTGAAAAGAAACTCATGCGGGATAATTTTTAAATGTCGTTTTGCAATCACAATCCGCATTATATTATATTGTATTATAAATTACTTTATATATTATTTACGAACGGAAAAATATGTCCAGAGTAGCATAGTGGCTATGGCATCTGCCCGGTAAGCGGAACACTGTGGGTTCGATTCCTATCCCTGGACACTTTTATTTTTCCGTTTATCATTACTCTTCACAATTCATCCTTTCATATCTCATCCCTAAGGTTAGAAATAATCGTTATTTCTCCTTAAAATATATTTTGATTTTCCGTTGAAAAGAAACTCATGCGGGATAATTTCAAATGTCGTTTCACAATAAATATAATATAATGTAGATACAAAATTAATATAAAATTGTACTCAAGATTACTTCAACCCTCTCCTCAAAACGCTTTATTTGTTTTCAGATTTCGCGAAATTACAATAAAACTTCTTCGACTCAAAAGATAAATAGTTTCTTTCAACAAATATTTATGAACTAATTACAAGATCGATTATATTTCATAGTATATCGCCAAATAAAATGTACTTAATCATAAAATAGATCTTTCCAACAATTAAAAAGAATACAAGAAAATGATTTTACAATTGAAAACTTTTATTGAACTGGTTCAATGATTGTGGTGTTTTTAAAAAAAAGGTAAATGTATAAACGATAAAAATTGTATAATAATATGATAGATTGGTGACATCGGATAGCTGCATGAATTCGTAGATAAGGAAAGAACATATAAAATTTTTAATCAATTTTGTAGATATATATATAACTATCTTTTGAACTGGGGAAGAGAGGGAAGGAAATTTTGAGAGAATTGCTTTTGTATGTTTGTCTTTTATCTCCTTGATCCTTTTCCTTATATATATCCAATTTGGTATGATGTTAAAAATGTATTGACGCAGATATCCATTTGTTGGGATATCGCGTTATAAGATATTAATAAAGTTAATGATATATATAAATATATAGTATAGTTATGAGAATTTTAAGATTTATATATATTTTTTATTTAATTTAAACATGTGAGGTTTGTTTTTTTTATTTTTTTTTGTAATAAATGATTAGTTAGAATATATTATAATAAAAAAAAAAGAAAAAAAAAGTAACACAAGCAAAGCATCGGTAGTTACGCGTCATAGGCTGGGTGAAAAAAGGAATAAGCGAAGAGAAAGTTTTATAGAGAAGAGCAAAGACAGAACCATAATAATAATTTTTCGAATATAAAATTGAGCTATTAGAGAGAGAGAATTTTTTTTGCTCTATTTTCTTTCTTAATGAAAGAAGATAGATTTTTGTTAATTTTTTTTTTTTTAATAAGATTATTTTAAAAACAATAGTGTAAATGTGGAGGACACGATAGTTGTTCTTGATCTGTAGTTCTTAATATTTTACTTTTCCTCTTTTTTTTTTTTCAAAAATGAAAAATTACTATTGATATATATATATATTGTATTTTAGTTTATCCTGTTGGAGGACTGTAGTGTGGTTGGAAGCAGTCGTGGTGGTTGAGTGATGGTTGATAAAGACACACAGGATCCAGAGGCCCCGTGAGGAAATAGATCGGGGAGGAAAGATAGAAGGTCCGAGAACAACCCCTAGAACAACTGGTGTCGAGACCACCTCGGTGAGAACTGTCCCCTGATTATTACATCCAGCCGCTTTTAAACCGATTTAAGTCAGATAAATCCCCTAGGGGAGAATGAAGACACTTGTTTACCAAGGAACCCGGCTATCTCCCCTTGTACTCCATGTACAGGCCATTTTATTCATATATTTCCCAATATTATGACAATTACATATTCACATCTTCAGCCTGGGAAGTTCACCTAGCTAAATAGAGTCCCCCACTAAAAAGCGAGTAGTTTTCTCAAACCCCCCTCAAATATCAAGATGATATTAAAGACTTGTCAGAGAAGCACGGAAAATTGTGGAATAGTCATTTAATTATTCAAATTAAAGATACTTCGGCTAGAAAATCTTTTTTTATTATCTCGACGTTTCGACAAAAATCAGGAACGATCAAATATTAAAACATTTGGCAAAACGTTGAAACTGACAAGAACAAAATATTTTTGTCGAAACGTCGAGACAATAAAAAAGATTTACTGGCCGAAGTATCTTTGATTTGAAGAACTATGAATGCCGGCCAGGCAGCCTCTATCTTTACGAGTGATTTAGTTCCTGTCGAAAACCCAGCCCTGGAATTCAGGGGGACACGTTGGCGTTTTGTACGTAGAATGTGCAGTGCCAGACGATGTTATGGAAGATGTCGATGTTTGTCCTACTTTCGTATAAGATAGTGATGGGAATGGACACTCAGTCGCGGTCGTCACACGTAGAACTATAGCAGATATTGTTGACGCGGTAGGTCCCGAACAGATTCTCGTCGATAAGACCAAGGCAATAACTGTTCAGGGCTACAGCATCAGCGAGAGAGTATTGTTTTATTCAACCTCGATTCCCTCCTGTGCCGGGTCTTGTATCTTACCAGAGCGTGTTTCAACCATCCTACAAATATATATAAGTGAATAATGAGTTAACTCTACTTTAAGTAGCCTCCAGAATAAATTATACATTTCTCACATCAAAGAGAGCAGTGAATTCACACAGTTTACCAAAATACAAATGGTGATTTTATAATACATAAATCTGTTCATAATATATATATATATTCTGTTTAATAAAGTAAATAAATATAATATATGAATTTGAATTTAAAATATATAAAAATAATATTACAAATTAAAATAAAATAGATACATTAGCCATGATGCAACAGTATCCATAATTTTCTGAAACTTATTTTTGTTATAAAATACTGATAATTATTGTACACGTATTGTATAACACAAAGCAATAACGCGCTATCTGTATATAAACGAATGAACACATTAACGCGAAGGTTTCTTTTTACAATTAAATCAAACTTCTATTGTCCTTACTGCGATGAAAATTATTTTCCAAGATTCCACCCTTCAGTGCAGCATATATAAGCAGAATTATCCAATACAGTATTGGAGCTCTAAAGAAACGGTCTGGTAGATTAAATTGATGAAATCGCTGGAAGGGTTCACCACTGATTAACCAAGCTCTCCCAATATTTTTTCATCGCAGTAAGGACAGTAGAAGTTTGATTTATTTGTGAGAAAAAACATTCGCGTCTTAATGTCTTTATTCGTTATATACATCTTATAATTGATCTCCATAATGAATTACTTTGAATGATTAACGTTTATTTTGGATCAAATTATTTATTAAAACTTTCAATATTTCGATGAGACTGTTCGCCTATCTTCCTCAGGGATTCTAACCCTGTAAACAAAACATCCACGATTTTCAAAAATATAATAAATTATTTTGAAAATATAGCAATCCATAAATAAATCTTTAATTAAAAGGCATATATTGGATCAAATATAATTTATTTTACCAATATTTCAGTTGGCTTAACGCCAACCTTTATAAAGGTGTTATAACACCTGAACTGAAAAAGGTATAAAACCAATATGAAATATTGGTAAAATAAATGATATTTTGATCCATTATATGCCTTATTAATTAGATAATGAATTATAAATAATAATAAAAATTGAGATATTATGTAAATGCTTACTACATATTTCTATATGTGTATGGTTGCCAACTGAAGGTATATCTTCCAGTGGAACTTCACCCGGGTCATCGTTGAGTATTGGAAAAAGTTGAGCGACGCACAAGATGAGAAAAATCCTGAAGAATTCATCTTTGCCGTGAAAGCTGATGATCTAATGAACCAAGCTCCTAGTCGTCTCCTGGCCGCCACTCCAAAAAAGTAAGAATTAAAAAAAAAAAAACTTATAAGCCATTATAGATATAGATACTGAAAAGTAAGATCTTCACTTGAATAAATATCACTCATTGGATATATATTTATAAGCCACTATACAAAATTATGTTTCAGAGTATTTTGTCCGAAAACAGATATACATGCTAAAAGGTCCAACTTTATTGAATATCTTCCTATTCTTTTTTATCTTCGTGACTGGGTGAAGTAGAATGCGTCTACCTTTGGCATTAAGACTGGGAGCACTACTCAATGGCAGGCCGACTTAGCTCCATAATCAAATGGCCGCCTTTGACATGAGAAACAGACACCATGTGCAGCCGCTCCTAACATGGAGTACAAATCATCCTATATCCCTGGAGCCATTACAGGGTACTATCAGCCAAGCCAGCTGAGCTCAGGTTTTTTTTATCGAGCTTATTACTGCTCCTCCTCCTTTTTGATCCGGCCTTGGGACCGGCAAAGGTCGAGTTTCTTAAGTTTTGTCCATGAGTGTATCAATTCCAAATATTTCGCAAATGTATTATAAAAATATCAAACTTTACGGATGTGTTTATGGTTTGTTTCAGGACATTGATGAACTATATGGCCTGGAAATTCCTATTTGGCGCTATCAAGTTGAGCAACTTAGAACTCCGATCGCGTGCACTAATCTTAGATTTGCCATCATACAAATATAGATTTGGAAGCATCTTGTATCCAGCTTGGATGACATGCTACGCCAATGTAGTGGAAGCCATGATGAGGGCTGTGACCTTCATCTACGACAGAGACATGTACAGTAAATCCATGAATGACGAGGTAACTATGTAGTGGTATATACTGTTAATATTATAATCCAGGGGTCAGCAAATCTTTGAGTAGGAAGAATCAAAAATGACAATTTACAAAATTTCAAATTTTTTTCGAGAGCCACAAAATGTTTTTTGCCAACAATAAATAGTACTCTCATTATTAACATTTGCATATGGAACTATATATAGAGCCGCAGATTCATATAAAAAAAGCCGCAGTTTGCCGACCTCTGGTATAATCCTTTCGGTTGTTGTTGTTGTGTCCAATGAAGAACCTCAGATGTCTCAATGCATCTCTCTCTCTCTCTCTCTATCACATCAGTCGCAATTTCCACTATCAAGGCTCTTCATTGGAAAATGGGTGCCGTTACCACGTTAGTCACCATGGACCAGAATTTGGTAACATATTCCAAGGGTCCAGGGGGGACTGGTATGCTTGAACTATCCCCCCCCTCAATCCCTTCGGTAAAATTATAAATGAAAGACAATTCGCTGAGAGAATCGTATAAGGTATAACTACGCTACTAAGTTTTTTAATTTAAACAAAT